TGTATGCACTTTATGTGCAAAAAAAAATCTTCAGAATCTATTCCACAATATAAGCACTTTTGAGCTTGAAATATATTGATGAGATATACTTACTTTTTGTTAATTTATTAATGGTTTAATTTCGACTTCTTGCAGAGAACATTGCAAATCATTTTATTTATCTTCTTAGAATTGCTTATTCAGGTACTTGACAGTCAAGATGGAGCTACCCGCATAATAAAAGTGGGAATGTTGCAAGGAGTGGATGAAGGCGATGGGTAAGGCCAGACTTTTATTACCCTTGTTTCGCGAACCCGCCGAATGAACATGAGCTGAAAATGAAATAAAAATATAATTTTATTTCAGCGTAATTTCTTGCGCCCGCCGACTTGTGAGCGCAACAAAATGCTAAAAAAAATATTATTTTTATCTTCATTTTTTAACCACCTGCCACATAACAAATCCAAGTTGCAATTTCGTGGGAGTATCATGATCCAAGTACCGAAGTCTAGCGCAGATGAGAAACAAGGTTATACATGGAATAAAATTTTATTTCATTTCTTCTCTCCGATCGATGATCTCACTTACAATTTCTTGAGTATCACACAAATCTAATGGAAAAAAAGATTTTTTTTTTTTTTCGCCCTCCTCAAAAAAATTGTCTTATAAAAACTTGCGAAACAAAGAATAAAACAAGTCTGGCCTAAGTTATTTTATTAGCTCCACCTTTACATTGACATCAATAAATGCTTTCAAGAAATTTTGATAGCCAAGTACCTTCAGTCTGAGTTCATATCGAATTCTTGTTCTTAAGTTAATGTTTTTGCCCATAATTGTTCTTTTTCGACTTCTGTTTTTATGGAAGATGAATCTGGAACTGCTCATAAATAAAACATCTCTTTCAACTGCGAGGTAACTTGTTATGAATGTATTTGATAAAAAAAATATTTCAACTGTAATTGTGCTGGTGCTGTGTTATATTTCTCATGATTCTGCTTATTCAGCGTTCTTAAATCAAATGCATTTTCTAAACTTTCTTGAATATTATTTTCAGCCTCGACCTTGGCATCATCATCGATGACGACTACTTATCTTCCAAAAAAGATAACGTTTTATCACTTGGACAAATCGATGCTATTATTGATGAACTACCATTCAAAGTTGAATACAGAATAACTGCAAATAGAGTTACTGATATAAAGTAAGTTTATTTATTTACATCCTTTAAAATGGTCATTTGGAGCAATTTGTCAGAAATATAATTAATGGCCAACATTTATACCATAAATTTTCATCTGATAAATAAACTGTCCATTTTTATGTTTAGCCTATATATGCTTGAAACAGGTATAACTATACTTCACTTTTATTTTTGGTTCCACAGAAAACAGAAACGAAAATCTAATTCTGCAGTTACTTCTAAAAAAAAAGAACCAAGGTGCAAAGATCAATAAGACTAGTCTTATACGCTTGTATAAATTTGTTCATACATTGATAGTATAAATAAAGGTTTTCCTCATTCAAATTTTGTAATTATTATTTGCAGTATATATCAGTGTATATTATAGCCTGATTACCACCATTCCTATTCCATTGTTTCTCTTTCTTTGACCATTGTGTGATGGAAAGTGCACCACACAATTTTACAGTATTTTCTAAAATACTGACCATGTTGAAATCGTGTCATGCCTTTCCAGACTATAGTTACATAAAGAGAATTAGTGAAATGGGAAGTCCCAGTTACCAGTTTATTGCAATATTCTCCATTTGCTTGTTATATTGCACAAAATTGGCGCCTTTGGTCTAAAATTCCATTCTATTGTGTGGCTGCAGAGTTGAATCTTACTTGGTTATTAATTTCATTTGAAAACAAAACATTTCTAAAAGAAAGCTTGCAACAAAGAACTACGATATTACTAGATAACTACAAATATCTGCAAATACTACAAAATCATTTAATTTTGTCTATTGCATTCGTTTAGCATAATACATGTACTACCAATGGGAAAGGGTTTCAGCTGTTCAATACATTTTTCTCGCTACAAAGTTGTCCATAATTTTTGGCTCAGAAGCACAACTTGATCGCTTTGAGTTTGAAGTGTATGTATGTCTCTTCCAATCCCGAGAACTGTTCATTTTATTGGATACACAACGCTTTGGGGTATGCATTGGACCTGATTAGTTTTTCGACCAAATCTGTTTATGTTAACTATGCTTAATTCGCATCTTGTTTTTAGCTCCTGTTGTCAAAAACGGGAGTTGATGTCTGAACAATCTTGTTCCATTGGAATCTTAAAAAGTACTGGGCAGATTGGGATCATACTTATACACAGATACTATGAGAGAAATATAAGAACTGGGGCAGTTTTCAATATGCTAATTTGCATATTAATTTGATAACTTTCAGAAAAATTACATATATTTTGAGAACCAGTGATTTATTCAAATTAATCAATCTAAAATAATTTATGACGTACAGCGCCCCATATAACAAGTATAGTGGCATCACATTATTTTTGAGATTTTTTTTCTATTTGGGTTATCTCTTTTCTTTATTACTTTACTACCAATTATCACACCAGTATAGCACCCTCACATGACTTTTTTAGAAAACTGATTACTGATTTAATTTTTTTTATTAACTTCATACCAAACTGAACTGAAGTATTACCAAATTTACAATTTATTTTCACTGGCAACAGCAGAACAGCCTGGGGAAGTAGATAAATGATCAGAATCCTTAATAGTGAAAGAATTACTTTGATCATTCTAAATAAAAGTCAGTGGAATATATTATATAGCACAGTATGAGCTCCAGTTTGTTTTGGAAATTGTGAAATGTTTTTCACCTGTACTTTTTCATGCTGAAAAATTTATTCACTTGAACTACATAAAGATCTTCTCTATTGTTACAACAGACAACTGGAGCTAAATTAGGATTATCTTGAAAACAAGATTTGGATTAAATTTGATATGGATATACATTAACGTAATATGCATATCGTATTACTGTAAGGGATACATTGCATATGTAAATTGCACATTGTTTTGTTTACCAAAAATGGAATCTCACTTATTATCTCCTGAACACAACATATATGGACCAAATTTGATCAGGTTATACATTGATGTAATTACCAAATCATATTAATATTAAAGATTTGCCTAATATGGCTTATGTGATGTAATTTCATGAACCTATTACTAGATGCTGCTAATAATTTGTACAGACATACATGGACTTCTACTAAACAATTTTAATTTTTAAACCTTTGCTTAAAATACATGGCAGCCCTTACTAAGCTTTCTTTTATTCACTCTACTTTTAACTGGACAACTATAACATATTTCCTCAGATTATTTCTGTTTTACAATTGTATTGCAAAGAAGGTGGTCATAGTACTGATTGACCAGCGTCTGGCAGCAATTGTAATTTCGACTTCTTTAAAACCACAGGTCAAAAATGCTTCCAAATTTGATACACTTATTCTTTGCATGGTTAGTTTTCATGTCCATATGTCAAATTCTCCATTTTTAGTGAATATTTATTAATTTCTTCAAAACCTTAAGTAATAATGCTTCCAAGTATGATATACAAGTATATTGGGTGATTCTTATTCAGATTTATTTATTTTACCATAATACTTTTCATCAAAATTGATATTTTCAGAATGCTTTAGCTGTAATATGCCTACCAATGTTTTCCTAGAAGCAGAGAAAAATTCCCCACTCAAGGGACATGACATTGCCCACAAATGTGGCCCAGAAGCTGATATTAAAACATTTATCAATACTGGAACACTCGGTGATTGATCTAGGAATTCATTAAGTGGGGCCATTGGGGCCCCTCTTGTGTCAGAACAAGGGCCATGACAAATTACTGGGGGCCCAGAAGTTGGCGTACTGCAGCATTTATAAAAGCCAGAATGCATAAACAAATGATATTTGTATTGAACAAAATTATATTGAACCCTCACTTGTTGTCCAATAAGTATAGTTATAGTACTGAACAGTGCCCTTTACTAATACCTTCTTCATGACCACTTACATCTACCTACTGGGACAATTGATGGAACATTGACAAAGGCAAGCTGCAGCATAATTACCCTTCCAGTGCTCACAAGAAGAAACCACATGTAAGCAAGTATTTCAGTTATTTTTTCTTTATTTATCATAGAACACAACTAGAGAAAGACATTTTGAAAACAAAAGTTGCAACAAAATGCACAAGGAAATAGTATACACCATTTTACCATGAAACAAAGGCAAGATTCAATGGTGTGGTAATGTTCTATAATATTTAATATTGTTTAAATTTTATTTCCTATACTGAAACAAACGCCTGTCTCGTTTTTCATGCCATACATGTACAGCTTTGTCAAACTGGAATGAGTCAACAGGTGGTCCATTTACAGCAATGGTCAAAAGTGTATTAAGTCTCTCACCAGTAAGTCTGTTTCGTACAGCAGTTTTTGTTTTATTTTGAGCAGAGAACCCTCTCTTACAATCTGCAGTCTGCACAGGAATCACAAGTGCAATACTTGCCAGGATGAGAAGATTTGGGAAACTTTCTTTGTGATATGTATTTATAATTTTCCAAAGTTCACACAGTTTGTCTCTTGGGTATGCTTCTTGTAGAACCAGTTTTTTGGCCAAGTCCCATTCTCTTCTGGTGGCCTCTGGATCAATCAAAGGAGGTTTAAGTGTACCATCATCAAGAGTAACTTCATACCCATAATTCTGAATAAGAACCTCTATTTTATCATTACCCCATTCAGCCTTATTATCTACAAAAGACAGTGATCGCATGCCCAATACAGCAAAAACTGTGATTACGTTGGAACTATCATCTGGAAATCGGGTTTTCAATTTTTCTTATTTCTCTT